AGAAACTGATCCTTAACACAAAATGTTGCATTTTCTTTGTTAATTAAATTATTTTAATCAGATAAGGAGTATTTGACAAGTCAAATTAGACAATATCCTTTTCCTAGGGAAAAAGTTACAATAATAAAAAATAACACAATACGAAGCTAGAGGGCGACAATCGAAGGCGCTTCATTCTTCTTTCTGATTTCTGCACATTAAGATAAGCAGCAGAGCTTTAATTTAGTGTTTTGATAGTTTAATGACACAAACCTTTGATTGGTCATGCATGTCAATGGTCATTAATGTTAGGTCCTAAAACTAAAGCTAACAAAACCGTATTTCATTTACTTTAGCTCATTTATGATTTGATCTGTTTAAGTAGCAAGCTACAACTTTCAATATATAATGTGTCGCTTTTCCAGTATGTATCAGGTCAAGTTCCAGGTCTGTCACAGGGCAATATTCATTTTATATAACATTTTGTATTCACTGCCCTTGTCGGAAGGAAATCCTATTCTTCTAGTGTTTTGCTGACAAATCTGTCGATGCAAAATAAGTTCAACTTCAGTATTTTTTTCTTCATACAAAAGTGCTTCAAGAGAGTAATTGCTATATAATGCTTATGACGCTTTTGTAGACATTTATCCTTGGAAACGAAAAAAAAAAATCACTAAAGGTTTTTGACAGATATTATGGTTTCACACATTCTTTAAATAAAGAATAACAGCAAAACAAATAGGAATTTGATTGCACTTGAAATAGTGGAAGAGAAGCAGATACAATTTTTTAACAGGGACAACAAACTACAAGACGGAAATCTGTAGAGAAGGATCGGTTTGAGTAACCTTAAAGGCCCTATGAAGATGGTGGGAGACAAAAACAACAACAAAAAAAGAAACTGAGCTTATGGAAAGAACATTTTGTAAAAACAATCTAAAATAGCAGCTAAAGCAAAACAGTTGACAGCACTACTCTCATCCAGTGGGGGAAAAAAACTGCCTTACCTTATTGGATGTCTCCAAAGTTAATAGGTTATCCTCAAAGTCTGATGCACTTTTCTTTAGAGTCTGGTCAGCAGGCAACGTGTTATCATTGTAGGATGATACAAACTTAAAGTCACTCGTTCTCGATCCTGTTGTTAGGTAGGCGTCATAATTGTAAGCGCTGCGTAAAGTTCCTGTGCCATCAACATCTGAGTAGTTTGGGGGAAGATAAGCTCCAGGGATGGCCACTGCTCCATCAAACAACAGTCTGGGCTTTCTTCTGCGACAAAACCTCACACCAAGGATGATGATGATGAAGGTCAGAAAGAAGGTGGACACAGAAACCAGTGCGATTATTAGATAAGATGTCAATTTGGAGTTCTTCTCATCATAAGAAATATCTTTCAGTTCTGGCACCTCAGCCAAGTTATCAG